ATTTTTCTGACGGGAACTGTACCATTAATCTTTCTTTGGGAAAACATTACTATGCCCTAAAAACCACTAAAACCGGGTGAGGGAACTACCTTTAAAAATGTTTTTCTCATATGTCAAGTATAGGAGATCCTTATTATGGAAGTTAATGCACAGCCGAGAAATGTTACAAGGTGGTTCTAAAGTGATGACCAAAATTTCATGATAAGCAGTGGAAAAAGTATTGATATAATTAAAAATAGGTATACATATGCTCCCACAAAATAAATCAACTCTTGATTTGGTTTGTCCAATGAATTACTACACAGTTATTGTAATTTTACTTTAAATTTTGTGTAATATAAAACTTGTATTTTGGGGGAGTATATGATTTCACTGAAACTGTGACTTTGATAATACAATATCCTGTACTTCACAGTGGGCTTTCATAGCCTGACCTTAAAATAGTAATTTTTGCAAAAACGTTTCAAGGCATCATTTGTTTTCCCAAAGGTTCTCCCAATCATTTTTCAAGTTATTATCTTTGGAAGTGTTAATTCTGTCACCATCTTTGTTGCATTTCTTGTCTCTAATTGTTAATTTAGCTAGGTCATCATTTGTCAAGTTCATGGAAGCCTGAATCATTTTTCAACTTCATGGGCTGTGTCTTTTGCAACATTCATACTGGTATTGTACTGTATACACATGATACCAACAATTAGGAAGCCTGGCTAGCAAAGATAAGCATTTGACCTCATGGACACTACTGGCCAGGAATATTTGAATAAAAATGGTCATCTCATCACCACTTTTATGTCAATGCCATCTTTTACTTCCACATGCCATCTTATAACTATGTTGACTCAGAGAATAAACAATGAAATAATGAGGACTTCTCTGTACATAAAATTAGACTGTGGAAAGATTACAAAGATTCCAAAAAGACTGTGGCTTCTGGCTTGGGCATCTTCTGCAGCTTGCTTGCCACGGGGGAAGCAAATCACCACGTTGTGAGAAAGCCCTGTGGAGAGGTTCATGTGACAGGGACTGAGGCCTGCCAACAGCCACATGAGTGGGCTTGGAAATGGGTTCCCACAACCCCAGATGAGCCTTCAGATGTGAGTACAGCCCCTGCTCAGAGCTTGACTGCAACCTTAGGAGAATCCCTGAGGCCAAGTCATCCAGCTAAGTCATACCCTGGATTTCTAAACACAGACAATGTGAGATAATAAATGCTTATTGTCTTAAACTACTAAATTTTGGACAGTTTGTTACATAGCAATAGATAATTATCTGGTAAATGGCATTCCAGGCAGAGATTAAAAGTAAGTGCAAAGGCCTCAGGGCAGGAACGCGCTCAATGTATTTAAGGAACACTAAGGTGGCTGATGTGGCTGGAGCCTAGTGAGCAAAGGACAGAAACAGCGAACGGGGGAAGTGGATGGGATTGAGTTTGAGAGCAAGGAGATATGAGAAGCCGCTAGGCTGTCTACAACTCTCTCTCATGAGGGCAGCCTATAATACACATTAAGGCATGGATTTTTAACAAATCCTTTTTGTTTTCTCTGTGATGTTTGCTTGTTAAACCACACTGATCTCTAACAGCCTCAATTTCAGATAATTCTGAAGGAGAATACTTAACTTTCTGCAATGATAGGGACTGGCATGGGAAATGACAGAGGAAAAGGGAACACTAAGAGACAATGGGCAAAACAGTCCCCTATGGAGAGTCCTCTGAAGAACACCAAACTAATCCAGGTCTCAGCAGGATGAAACACTAGACACATTCAGAGACAGAAAAGTTATAGCTAACAGGTCTAATGCTAACAGATTGTGGATATCAAGATAGGGCCAACAACAGGGCCTTGGAGCAGTTTAAAGCAAAGCAAGTTAACGGCTCTCTTCCTCACTCCTTCCCAACAAGCAAACGGACAGACACACTCAGCACCTGCAAGCGACACGTTCAGAGAAGCTGAGGCTCAAGTTCAAAACAAAACTAACCGACACAATGACATAAATCAAGACTTTTGCATGTCAATCTCTTATTTTAATCTCTATGCCCTAACCCAAGAATTACAATGTAGCCAATTTCCAGAAGAACATTAGTAGGAAAATAGGAATATAATTAAACATGTTTGGCAACACTGGAAGAAATGTTATGGATCTTTAACATCCAGGTTAATTACCTTCTCTAAAATTCTAAAAAATAAATGTTTATCTGGACTCTTTTAATGTAATAGCAAGATATGCTTATATTTACTGCACTTTCAGTGAAATGCCTGTAATCTTCCCCAACTCATGAAGATCACTTGAGTTTTCCTTCTCTAATACTGCTAGCATCTCTAGCTAAATTTTTGATTGAACAAGCTAAAATAAGATTAACTGAAAGAAATCACTTAGTTACACTACTATGTACTAGACCTTGTCATCTGCACTTGTTCTATTTTTCATGTTAACAAATGGAATCACAACAACTCGCACAAGTACTATTCAGCTACAGTATTTGGTAAATAGCCCCATTGTTGGCAGAAAAACTGGCCCTGAAGAACAGAACCTAAGAACCACCATTAAAGATGCCCAAACACCTTACCTCCATCTCAGAGTTAGGTGACTTTACAGAAGGTGTTAAGATTTAGTTGACTCAAAAAATAATCAGTCTAGAGTAAGGTGAGGGGGCAGTGGTTCAGTGGTAGAATTTTTGCCTTCCATGCGGGAGACCCGGGTTTGATTCCCTGCCCATGCACATCATGCACAGCCACCATCCCTCTGTCAGTGGAGGTTTGGGTGTGGTTATAATACTGAACACGTTTCAGTAGAGCTTCTAGATTGCAATGGACTAGGAAGAAAGGCCCGGCTATTTACTTCTGAAAATCAGCCAACAAAAACCCTACGGATCACAATGGTCTTATCCCCAACCAATCATAACGATGGCACAAAACTGGGCAGCATTTTGTTCCACTGTGCATGGGCTTGCCATGAGTCAAGGGTCCAATCAATGGCAGCTAACAACAACAACAGAGTGAAGTGAAAATAAAAACTGTAGAAGAAGCTATATTTAACCAGCCTTTGAGAGACTCTCTTGATGTTAGAGATGAAGGAAATTCATAAAAACTTTTTTTCTCAATATAGGCTGTATAACTACTGGTATAAAATAGAACCAGAGATCTCACTCAATTTCCTAAGTTTTTTTTACAAGTCACCCAGAAAAGAGGTTGCAAGTTTATTTTTAAAAGAATTTGGCACGAAGCTGTGCTTTTCAGTTTGGAAAGTAATCCTAGGCAAAAGACACCATGTTTTCATGAAGGAAGCTTGGCGTCATCACACCAATTATCCCAAGAGTATAGAAAGGAAATTCTGAAGGAAATTAAAATTACTCTGAGACAAACTACTGTTTACCCTACTCAGAGGACAAAGGATAAGTCTATTTTTATCATTTCACAAAACCTCAGTTCCATAAAGAAGGAAGCACTGGTTTCCACAAATCCATTAACATGAACAAAACATAGTGGTTGTTGACCAAGATAAAAATGAGTGGCATATCTCTTTCAGAAATGTTCTGAAATGACCCTGACCACTCTAGTCCGATTCATGTACCCTGGGAAGGCAGATGAAGGAGAAGTGGGTGGGTGTTCCTCACTGTGGGCAGAGGCAGTAAAACTTTCCCCTCCCTTTGCCCCCTGCTCCCAATCACCTATACTGGAGAAAGAACAGTGCCCTTGGAATTAGGAGACGTGGTCCCTTTACTGCCTCTGCCATTTTTTTTTTTTTTTTTTTTTTACTGTGAGACCACAGAAGAATCAGGACCCCTAGAATTCTTTTTTCGAAATGCAAAGGACAGGACTTTGGCACTACTATGTCACCAGTAAGAAAATTAAGGTGCAGTGAGGGGCAATGATTTGCGCAAACTCACAGTCCATTACGGAACTAGAATTCGAATCCCGGTGCGTCAGACTGTAAAAGTTCTCACCAACCACTCTTTTTTCTCGAGAGTTAAAAGAGGAATTATGATGTCCGCACAGCAATGCTCCCCGGAACTTGGAAGAATCAGCTATGAGCCAAACATGTGAACATCGCTTCCTAAAGCGCCAAAGGGATGTGCAACATTTTTTCCATCAAAGTGGAAATGAAGAGCCTGGATTGCAGCCCCCCAGCCCCCAAGCCCCCGAGCCCTCCCTCCAGAACCCCCCGACGCGGCAGATCCCCCTCGGCCAGGGCGGCCCAGTACCAGGACGGAGAAGGAGAAGGAGAAGGGAGAACGGAAGGGAGAGAGTGCGCGCACCCCGCCCGACTCACCTGTCACTAGGGCCGCGCTAGCGGCGCTCCGAAAGGGCCGGCGGTCGCGCACCGAGTCGTCACCTCCGTCCCCACCCCTTCCCCTAGGCAAGGGTCCCCTTAGCGCCCTAGTCTCTTTTAGTAAGCCTGACTAGCCCCGGCTTCCGCCCCTGGCCGTCACATGACCAAAGGGGCGGAGAGCAGAGCGGGGCGTCATGTGATCACGCTCCGGCGACGGCTGATGACGCAGGGACCCGCTCGCCGTTTCAGCGGCAGTGCAAGGGGGTTAAGGAAGGTGTTGGGGTGTGGGTGTTGGAAGTCAGGGTGCAGCTGGACGGAGATAGGTCGGGCAGCCAGGTAAGGCAGAAGCAGGGGATGGCGATGGGGAGGGTGGCTGGAGTTGTCGCTTCCTCCTAGGCGCTTTGCGCGTGCCCTGAGCTGGGGGACTGTGGACTTGGGTTTTGGTTCTGGTTCTTTTCACGCGGTGAGGCTGGGACAGTTTACCTCCGTCTCCTAGACACCGTCTCTCCAATCTTCAGCCGTGAGTGTGTGGGGAAAAGATCACGAATTTTTGAGCCACATGAATCTGGCTTTAGCTGTCTTTACAAGCACGGCCTTGGACGAATCATGTAAATAAACTCTTTGGGCTTCAACTTTCTTTTCTCTTATGTAAATTGTTGTGAGGATTAGCGATAATGACAGGGAAGCGCCCACAACTTCTTTACGGCACACTGTTGGGAGAAGGAAACTCGAGTGTATTTACTCCTGTTTTTATTACAGGGTCGCTGTGAGTGGGAATCACTTGACGCAGTAGGTTTGGTTTTTACTCTTGCCATTGTTGTTTCTTCCTGATATTCCAAGACTCCTTTTATCATTTCCTTTCTGTTTGGGGGTACTTCTTCTTTATCTGTTCTTTTAGGGTAGGTCTCGTAGTGACAGATTCTCTTTTCTTCTCTTGAGAACAGGGCCTTGAACCGGTTTGTTCTGGTTCGAACCCCTGCTGAAAATTTGCATTTCCACCTCAGGTAGACAAGATCCCTAGGTGATTCTTCAGTGGTTCGAAGCCCTGCTTGTTTTCCCCTTTAATCCTGAAGGATATATTTGCTAGATATAGAATTCTGGGTTGACAGTTCTTGTGCCAGTTCCTTCTGTCCTCCAGGGTTTCTGATGAGAAATCTGTTATCGTTCAAATTGTTTTCCCCTATAGGAAAGGCGTTGTTTCTCTCTCACTGCTTTCAAGATTCTTTATTTTTAGTTTTCAGAGGTTCAAATATGATGTACCTTGATGGGATTTCTTTGAGCTTATCCTATTTGTAGGTTCCTGGGTGGCACTATGAGTCGGCAATTTTTTTTTTTTTTTTCCCCGACTAGCACAAATGGTAAAGCTTTCGACTACCAACCTAAAGGTTGGTGGGTCAGAGCCACCAAGTGACACCAGGGAAGAAAGGCCTGGAGATCTGCTTCCATAAAGATTACAGCCAAGAAAATCCTATGGAGCAGCCCTACTCTGTAACACATGGGATTTTCATGAGTTGGAATTGACTGGACAGTAGTGGGTTTGGATTTTGGGTTTTTATCCTGTTTGTGGTTCACTCAGATTCTTGAAACTGTAGGTTTATGTCTTATGCCAAATTTGGGAAGTTTTCAGCCATTATTTCTTTGAGTACTTTTTCCTCTCCTCTGGTACTCCAATGACATGAATGTTAGATATTTTCTTATAGTTCCGTTGTCCCTGAGGTTCTGTTCTTTTTTTCCCCCTCAGTCTATTTTTCTCTGTTGTTGAGATTGGGTCATCTCTATTGTTCTCCCTTCAGTTTGATTGATGCTTTTGTCTGTTATCACCATTCTGCTGCTGGACCCATCCATTGAGATATTTATTTTGATGACTGAATTTTTTTAATTCTAAAATTTTCACCTGGTTAGTCTATTTTATATTTGCTGACTTTCTAACTTTTTATTTGTTATAAGCTTGTTTGTAATTGCTTGTTTATGCATTTTTATGATGGTTGCTCTAAAATCTTTGTCAGATATTTCTAACATCTGTGTCATCTTTGTGTTGATGTCTGTCGATCGTTTCTCATTCAAGTTGAGGTTTTACTACTTCTTGGTATCACTAGTGATTTTGGATTGAATCCTGGCCATTTTGGGTATTATATTATGAGACGCTGGATCTTATTTACATTTTCTGTTTTAACAGGCCTCCTCTGACACCATGCTGATGGGGGAAGGAACACTGGCTTGTTACTGCTGGATGGTATTGAAAATCCAGTTCCCCACTTGGTCTTGTTATGGCTGTGAAGGGGTGGAAGTGTAAGCTCCCTGCTAGGACTCCTGTGATACCACCCTGGCTAGGAGGGGTAGGCTGCCTTGTTACTGCTCCCCACGTGGCCTTTACCATAGGAGATGGGGGATGGCCTCATTACCCCTAGGTGATGTTGAATATCTTGACTGCCCTCTAGGATTCCTCTGACACCAGCAGGGCAGAGGATGGAGTGGAAGTACAGGCTCCTCACGTAGTGTCCACTGACACAACGGGAAGGAGGGAGGAGGGCTATGCAGGGATGAAAGTTCCAACTTCCCACTAAGCCTTCTCTGACACAACTTGGGGGAGGCTGTGCCCGGAGGAGTGCCTCATTACAGCCCAGCAAGGGTGAAAGTCTAAGCCTTTGCTGATGAGGTTGAGGCTGCAGATTATTTGTTGTTGTTGTTTGTGTGCGTTTTTGTGGTATTTGCCTAGAGTAGAACAATTGTTGTCTAAAAGTTTTGGCTTGCCGCTGTTGTTGTTAGGTGCTGTCAAATTGATTTTTGACTCATAGCAACCCCTGTGCCAGAGTGGAACTGCCCTATAGGGTTTTCTTGGCTGTAATCTGTATGGAGGCAGATAGCCAGGTCTTTCTCCCGTGGAGTGGCTAGGTATGTTCAAATGGCCAGCCTTTGGGTTAGCAGCCAAGCACTTAACTGTTGTGCCTCCAGGGCTCAGGGCTCCTGTTTTGGCTTGCTAGGCTT